GCGATAACGGTTACTGTTCCGCCTAACAATTGGTAAAGTGAAAGAAACCACAGTAATAGCCATTGGAAAGTCAGCAAAATAATATTGGAAGCCGCTGGAAGCAGTCTGTCTACGCTAAACATATATCTATGGGATGTTAATCGACACTGGAAGCGCCTGGAAAGCCACTCAATGTTTTGTCTCAACACTCGAAGAGACGCTGGAAGCCGCTGAATGGTCAATAAATACTGCTGGAAAAGCATTGGAAGCACCTTCTTGGGCCTAGCACTGGCTTAGTCAACTTTAATAAAAACACTGGAAACTGTTGGAATGAAATAAGTGCTGCTGGAATGTCACAGTGCTGACAGTTTTGGAATGTGACTGGAAGCTGTTGGAGGAGCAAGAAGTGCTGCTGGAAGTCATTATAAAGAAGCTTAAGCAACTAAGAGCTACTGGAAAGTGAATGGAAGCTGTTGGAGGAGCAAGAAGTGCTGCTGGAAGTCATTATAAAGAAGCTTTCGCAACTAAGAGCTACTGGAATGTGACTGGAAGCTGTTGGAAGAGCAAGAGGTGCTGCTGGAAGTGAACATAAAGAATCTTTCGCAACTAAGAGCTACTGGAAAGTGAATGGAAGTCATGGGCAGGTTAATGCGAAGTGTTTCTTAAGCTTCACATTGGTTCCACTGGAAGTCGCTGGAGGATTACAGAACTATAATCGGGATAGCGTGTGTTTTGTTCGAGGGTTAGATTCACTCACAAGGAATACTGAGTCATCGATGTCGTCATCGTCATCGTCATCGTCGTCGTCGTCTTGGGAACTAAAGAAAACATTCCGCTCGGAATTATCACACATGCTTATGCTCTAAATGGATATAACGTTTTAACTCTGGGCTTGTGCTAGGTACCTGGAGCAGCCGCTAGATGCGCAACGGTCGACCCGCGGCGGAACCGGAGGCTCTTACCGCCGCCGGACGCTGCAGGGACCAGCGTTGCTCGTCGGCGCTGGCAAAGATGAGATAGATAAAGTTGCCAGCGATATTGAGGCCCGCCGCCAGCCAGAAGACAATGTGCCACTGGGTGAGGGTCTCGCGATGATTGATGATCAGCCCAATGACATAGGGCGCCAGGAAGCCGCATATATTCGCCGCCGAATTGGTAATGCCGTACATGGTGCCCGCATAGCGTGGACTGAGCGCAATATGATTCATCTGGTTGCCGGCGTAGACGGCACCGCCGAAGGATCCGACGCCGGCGAGCATGAATGTGACCCAGACCCAGTCGCAGCCCACGTAGATGATGCCAATCAGGCCCAGCGAGGGCACCACCGAGGCAATCGTGTTCCACAGCTTGTAGGAGTTGAGCAGCGTTATGTAGCGCCGGGCGAGCATCCAATCCGCCAGCGCGGAGCAGGCGATGCCCATGAACCAGGAGGTTAGGAACGGCACCGCATTGAGCAGCGCATTCGATTGGATGTCAAAGTGGAGGATGTTGCTCATATAGGTGGGCAGCTCGGTCAGCTGCGTGTAGAAGGCCCAGCTCTGGCCGCACTGTGTCAGCAGAATGGCCCAGAGGGGCACGCTGCCGAGCAGCGAACGCCAGGGTATATCATCTAGTTGCACCAGATCTGGCTCCTGTTCCTGCTCCTGTTCGTCGTCGTCTTGGTCCTGCTCCTGCTGCTCCTCCTCCAGCAGCTGGGGCTGCTGCACCTGCAGCGAGCGCTCAATATAGGCGCGCTCCTTGCGCGAGATGCGCGGATGATCGCTGGGCCTGTCGTACACCAGATACATCCAGCCAGCGAACCACACCAGGCCCAGCAGCCCAAAGATGTAGAAGGCCGATGGCCAGCCGCCCAGAAAGTCCTGCGAGCAGAGCCAGCCCGTCAGCGGCATGGAGATGACGGTGCCAATGTTGGAGCCGGCATAGACAATGGCCGCGAATTTGTTGCGCTCCAGCGGCGGTATCCAGTGCGCCAGCATGGCGTGCATCGCCGGATATGTGACACCCTCGCCCATGCCCTCCAGTATGCGCACCAGCACCAGCAGCGGCAGGTCCCAGTGCGCCGCCAGCGGCGTTAGCAGCGTGAAAATTGCCGTAATAAGGACACCATAGCCGTAGATGCGTTTGCCGCCGAGCAGCTCGGCCATGCGGCCGCCGGGCACCTGGGTGAGCACATAGCCATAGAAGAAGCTGCCCAGCACCAGGCCCTGGGTGGCCTCATCCCACACAAATTCACCCTCCGACGGTGGCAGGCGGCGCCAAAATGTGCCCAACGAAGTGCCGTTCAACGGGGGCATCGGGCACGTATCGTTGGCCACCACGGAGCTGTTGCTGTGCGGTATGGCCGTCTGATTGACCATGGCCACAATGGCCACGGAGAGATTCACGCGCATTGCATAGACGACGGCAAAGCCGAGGAAGCCCATCAGGCCGAATATGTGACGCGTCTGCAGCCAGCTGTCCGCCTGGCCCAGCTCCTCAGCAGCTGCGAATTCGTCGTGGATTTAGATTGAATACATTTTTTTTTTTGTTTTTTGAATTTCGATTTAGGATTTGGCCTACCTCTGATGAGCGGCCTGTCGCCGCTGCAGAACGCCTGCCGCTCGTCATCCGCCTCCGTGTCGTCATCGTCCGCATCGCTGGAGGCGCCACCAGCAGTGCTTGCAACATTGTTGCCATAGTAACAGGAGGCGTCGCGCGTTTCGTCTGTCCATCTGTGCGGCGGCATCTCGAAACCGAATTCCAATTGTTGCAAATATGCTATTTTCCTCTTCTTTTGGTTTTTTTTGTTTTTATTAATTGTTCCCTTTTGCTGCTAGTTCTTCTGCAATTGCCAGCACATTTTCTCTTTTAACTTTTCCAGCAACAACAAAGACAGCGACATCAACGGCCAAAGACAACTCACCAACAGCTGCAGCTGGCAGCGACTGAAGCGTCAGCCAGCAGCAGCAGCAACAGCAGCAGCGGGCAGCGAGCAGCAAGCAGCAGCAACAATATGTAACTACAATAACAATAACAACTAAATCTAAACACAGCCGAAGCGCTATATAACTGTTGTTGTTGCTGCTGCCACTCTGCCTCTTTCTCTCTCTCTCTCTCAATGGCTATGTGCTTTTGCTGGTACGCTCTCTCAGACGCGGGTACTCAGCAGCTTTGCTTTGGGAAAGTGGAGCAGCAACAACAGTAATAACAGCAAGTGAATGGCCATTTGGCGCGCGCGCTCTCTCTCTCACTCTCTTGATCTCTCTCTGCGCCATCAAGAGCGCTGAATTTGAAGTGAAGGCGCTTTAGCGGATTTTTGTTAAGTACCAACAACTAATACTTAGCCATTGTTTACATTCAGTTTTAATTCCCACACGCTCCATGTACAAGTACACATATGTATATATCTTATCCATGTGTGTCTGTCTGTGTGTGTGGGTGTGCATACTTTGTGCCTGTAAGTGCGCAATAGAAATGCATATGTATGCATATTCATAAAAGGGGCAGCCATGGCAAAATTTTAATTGTAAGCCCAACGAACTTTGAATGCCCTAATTAAATGAGTTACTTAAATATTATATGAGCTTAGCTAGAAATCATACTTATAAATATTAAAATATATGTTTTGAGTGTCAAATATAACAAAACTATTTTTTAATGCTTAACGAAAATTGTAAAAAAATTGTTCTTTAGTTAATTTTGGAGAATTTATCAAAATGGAATATATTAAAAATAATATTAATTATAAAAAAAACAAAACAAAAACAATGCAGTAAAGGAGGGTATTCTGCAAAAGTTGTTCTACCATACGAATCTCAATAGAGAGTATTCAACACTTGCATAGAGTATTTCCTATATAGATATATTATATAGCTACCCAAAAGCTAAATAATGAATTTTTCGCTACAACGAGTTTTTGTGCATACTTTTCTACATAGGCACTATATAGGTCATTATCGTACAGATCTATTTATATTTATAACTGGTTTATATGGAATATATTTTCAAAATGGTGTCGATTTATGCATATTTATAAAGATATATACATATGTGCATTAGAGCTAATATTCTAGTTTTTTTAAAATTTTGTAAATCGGTAGGGGTAAAGTCTCGACAGATAAGGTTTTTATGGTGTAACCTTCGTCATATTATTTTTCTCTATAGCAATACGAAAAATATGAATGTAGATAAATAAGTCTTATCTGTAAATTAAAAAGTTAAAGCAAAATTCTGACCACTCCATTTCCGGTTGCTGACTTTTGATATTTAAAAATATTTGGCAAAATAGCGAACAAAATTTGTATAGGGTAGCGGGACGAAAAAGCTGTTAACTAACAACAGTTATAAAACAGTTGGCGAAAAGCAAACGAAGCTCTTGTGGATTTTAGTTAGCTCTATTTAAGCTATTAGCATGAAAATAATTGTTATAATCTATAGAAATTACTTGAACGAATCAATTGAGTCATCCAATTCATTAGAAAGAGATTGTTAATCAAGCCGAGCCCTGATAAAACGGGTATCCATCTACTTTCGGGTGAGGGCAACGAACTTGTTGAGCAAACAAATACGCACGCCCCCAAAAAGTTGCAGAGAGCGAGCGAGCGAGCGAGAGAGAGGGAGAGGGAGAGAGAGAGAGAGAGAGTGGGAAATATTTGTTATACTCTATAATCAGTTTAAAAATATATAAACAAATGTATATGCTATTCTCAGCTCCTAAAAAATGTAATTACAATTGAACTATAAAAGCGAAAGGCTTTTAACATTCCATTGCAAAAGAAATGGTATACAAGTTTTTGGAGTAATAGAGAGAATTTACGCAGATTTTTCATTCTCATTTTTGCAGAAGTGTGTATTAAAATCTGAAATGAGCGCAGCTTGTGGCCGTTTACAGGGTAGCTGTTAGTCGTGCACACTTGACGCATGTCACAGATGTCCTGTTGCACGCAAGGGGCGTGCCAGAGCCTTCAGCTGGGTCAGCTTCAAAAAAACAAATCGGCAGACAAATCGGACTCATATACATATGTATGTATGTGTATATTGGGATAACAGTTAGTTAAAAGCTAGTTAGGCACCTTGTGGAGGAGCCGGCAAATCCGTCATCCGATCAGTTGGCGAAGATGGTGCCGACGGCAAAGACAATCATCTTGCGCTTGTGATTGGTCGTGAGGGTCTCGTAGTGGTAGCCATTGATGATCCTTGCATCGTTCTTGCCCTCGTTGAAGGAGGGCCGGATCGGGGCCAGATCGATGTTGTAGCAGTTGATCATGAAGATCTCGTTTTTGAGCAGAGCGCACACCTCGTAGGGGCTGGCCAGCTTCTCGTTCCAGATGCTGACCGAGCCATAGGCGAGCGTCTCCTTCTGGTTCACCTGGGTGGCGTCTTTGGGTGTGCGGAACGTGTGCACGGTTATGATGCCCGTCGGTCCATCGCCTAGAAAATTGTGGAATATATCGCTGACCAGCATGGGCGTGGCATCTGGTGGCACCCTCTTTGGATTGCCGACAATTATCTCCGGATTCAGCTTCTGCAGTTTGGCCAGAGAGCGCACATAATTGGGATGATTGGAGATTTGCGGATCGAGCGGCTGCAAGCGCTCCGCCACGCGCTCCAGAAACGAATCGCGTACGCTCTCCTGGATGAGCAGCGTGGCCACCGCGTGCTCCGCGAATGGATCGTGCAGCGAGGTCTCCAGATGGTGCATGGCGCTGTTCAGATCGCCATCGTCGAACACCATCATCAGGCAGGGCGAGTTCGATTTGTACAGCACCTGCGGCTGCTGATCCTCCAGCTTCGATGGGGTCGACTTCGGATCGCCCGCGGCGCCATCGTCTTCAGGTGTGGGCAGCTGTCAGAGATGCGGCCCATGTGGCCGGCATGTCAGTGTCAAAGGTTAAACGCGTTGCCCACACGCACTCACCGTTACTTTGCGCTCCTGGACGGATTCCAGCTTGTGCACCATGCCGTAGGTGATCACCGATGTTGGCATCATGTTAAACTTGGCCGTGTTTCCCAGCTGACCCTCTGTCAGATTGTCGGACATCACGCAGAATGAATTTTGCAAAATTGTTCACAATGGAACAGCAATTATCACGTTATCAGTGCTCTCGTTATCTCTCTCTCTCTCTCTCTCTCTCTCGCGCTCGCTCTGTCTCTCTAGATCTGAGCAGCAACTGAACAAGCGACGGCGTTGCCCAACCGTGTTTTAATTTTAAAATTTAATTCTGAATCAATATTTTAAATCATCGTTTAACATGTATAATATAATGTCACAATATGTCGAAATGTGTCGTTTGGCAGCAATACAATTTTGTTATATTTGAATAAACATGCGTTACTCAGCGCAGCCATTTATCGAACTTTTAATTAATTATTTGTTTATTTTTTTTTAACTTGGCTGATTTTAATAAAGTACAAATATAAATAACAATATTTACAATAATAACAATATTTATTATTCGATAGTTTTGCCAGCGACTCTTCAAATATCGATATATCACTAGCTGTTTTGAAGCACTGGTTTTGGCACATGCTGTGCAGCCCTGGCATAGATTACGCCACCGCAACGTCGACGTCGACGCTGACGTCGCTGGGGGTCCGCTTGTGTTGGACTTTTATTTTTTTTTATACATATGCTGGTTGCCTGCCGCTGCCCCATGCACAGTTCACATTCAGATTCAAACTGTAAAGGCTCGAGAGCTGTGCGCGTCGCTCCGTCTCCGTTCTATTTTTTTTGTCTCATACATTTTTAAATTCTCGTTGTTATTTGATTAAGTGTTGCACTTGTTGTTGCTATTGTATTGTTATTGCTATTATTGGTGTTTACGCCCTGGAAATCTGCTGCTCGCGACATTTGTTCTAATGCAATAAAAGTGGAAATACCGTCAGATAGAAGACCAACAAGTGCGCGCTACAATTGCATTTTGCGGATTCTGTGTGTGTGCGTGCGTGCGTGCGTGCTGTTGTGTGCATTTATATATAGATACATATATTAGTGTGCGTGTTTTGCCTTTGGCAGAGTACGTTCAACCAATTGAAAGCGAATTTGTAAATCAAAATAGAATTTGACAACAACAATAACACTCACATAAAAAGAAAGCAAATTTTTTAAAGTAGAACAATTCAAAATATTTGCACGAACATAACGAAAACAGCTGGCAAAAGCGCAACAGCAACAGCGAAGTCAGCAGAGACAGCGACGGTGACAGCGACGGTGACAGCGAAGCTTCGATTGTGTTCGTCTCCTTCTTCTGGTTGTTGTTGTTTTTTCTTTGTCAACAGGCAACAGGTGTGTGGGCGGCTGCGCAGCTGCATTGGCAAGAAGAGCTACAAAATGACCGACTTAAGTGAACTGATGGGCTCGCAATTTGTGCGCGTCAAGGTAAATACGAACAGGTGCTGGCGGGGGCGTGGTCGCGAGCGTGGGCGTATGCTAAGCCGGCCAAGAGCAACAACTCCCGCTCAGACTCACTTATTGGGCTGCCCGCTGGTCTAGTGTTAGATAACAGCTCAGCTCAGGTTCGGCTCGGCTCGGCTCGGCTCAGCCGCGCCCAGTCTGGCAGCCTTGCTCCATGCTGCAACGCTCATTAGCACCTAATGCAGCAGGCGGCAACTGAGACGCGGGCAGCTATAGCGACGGCGGCGACGGCGGCCAACCGCAAAAGCCATTCGATATGTTTTCGACATTTGTGGCAGCCAATTTGCAACTTCAGCCGCTGCCGGCGTCGCTGTGGGGCTTCATTTGAGCCGCTTACTCAATAGACAAACAGCAAATGCAACTTAACGAAACTTTCCATATTCAACAATCCACCCCCCCAAACCCCAACCCTCCTCTTAATCTATCACACAGGTCGTTGCCTTTGTGCACTTCTTTTTCTTAACGTGTGCAATGATGGGCAAATGGGGGCATGGCGCATACGAGTTCTACAACTTCCTCTTTATCATTGCCATGTTCTGGACGATACAATGCAAGGAATCCATTGAGGCGGTCCAAACGGTAAGTTCATCAAAAATCGAATTCACCCACACTGGCACACACACGCCCACACTCGCCCGCTCTCTAACACTGTGTGCGCCAGTGTGGTGTTGCCACTCTGTGTTTAATCTTCATAATTCAATTGACGCTGACGCTGACGCATCCGCACGCATACAGTGCGCCTTATCAGTACGCCGCCTGCATAAACCATGCCCGCCGACTGATAAGAGTTCGCACCGCCCCGCGTCTCGTCACCGCTCTTGAGCAATTCACGTACCAACAGCCAACAATTAATTTAAATTTGCTTTGCCGTTTTATTTGCGGCTAGATGATACGACCTCTTTTTTTTTTATTATTTACTTTTTACTTATATGCCAAAACCGGTTCTGTCGAAATCAGAGAATTAAATTAACATATGCACTCGAGTTGGTTTCGGTATGTTTATTTCCACGCTCGAAACTATAAATATGAAATGCGCTCACTCACACGTTGTGCATAATCCTCAGGCCCCTAGCTGCAGCGGGGGGTCGTCACCAGTTGCGATACTTTTTTGACCCACTGTTGCAGCAGCGGCACCTGATGCCTGCCGCCCAACCTTCTCGGTCCGACATGGTTATATCTCAGCCAGTGGGAATGACGCTGAGATAACATTCTTTTAAAACATTTTAATATTCTTTTACTAGAAATTAAATATAACCCGGCGTTGCACGGGCAAAAAACGAGACAGATACACAATCGGTTAAATTCACCCGCCCGTCGATGCATTTTAGTTTACATTTCCTGTTTACTTTGTGAATAAAAACAATTTGAATATAAATATTCAAGAACATTGAAAACTGCTGCTGGATTTGGACTGGCGACCTTCCGCTTGTTAGTCCGACGCTCGAATCCCCATAAATTTATTCGATCTTTAAAAATAAATTAAGAAAGTATCTGTATCTTCTTCTGGATAACGTTTCTGTTTCGAGCACGCTTAATAATTCACATTGAATCGCAAGAAGAAGAACTAGCCCAATATCTTACAAATTAATTGCAAATATTAATTGATGATTGCTCGAAGATTAGCATCTTTTTCAATGCATTGAAAACCTTTTTGGGAAATTTGAATCCGATTTGGAACCGGCTTTAAACGTGCGAGCGAGCACTAAAGTATTTTATTTCCTTATCCCCAGTCTTAAAAAAAAAAATGCCTATGTAACATGGAAATAAGAATTTGTGGGCAAAACAAGATAAAGCTTGAAAAATTAGATCCCATTCTGCATATTGTCTGATTTCTGGACTCCAATTTCACAAGGTTTTCGAAAATTCTTCAAGAATATGGTTAAAGAAACTGAATATATGTTATTTTTTCTGTTCTTTTATTTATAATAAGACAGATCTAATGCAATGTCGAATCGTATTTTGTAAGAGTTCAAGCGATATGCGAATTTACCAAACATTCCTTTTGCTGAAAAAATTTGCCAGCTATGAAATTTAGTACATTTTATGCACATTTTCTATAAATACACATGAATTAACCCATTAAAAACAATTCACAAAGGCAATTCAAACAGTTTTTCCTTATAATATTTTTGTTGTAATTACTTCATAAAATGAACGTGCTTAAGCACCCAATCGAGCGATCACTGTAGTTTTGTAGCACCGAAAAGTGTGGCAACCCTGTTCTGGAACTAGTTAATGGTTTATCTTCGACAACTGATTCCAAATTGTGATTCACTTATGAAACGCCACGAACGTTACGAAAATAATGGAACTAATGATTCAAGTTCAAGAATTCGGTGAGGATAAGGCATTTCAAAAAGAAAAGCCACAGTTAAAAAAAAACCTGAATATTTTAGAACTGACGCAATATTAATAGTATAATAATAATCAAATGCTAAAAAGCTAAGCATTTCTTCGGTTTGACCAAGTGAGATTGTTATTGGCAAAACAGTTTCTGTTCGTGGCTTGGCAGCAGCTAACTTGGCGTTGGCCAAAACCACGTGAAGGCACGCTAATTATAGACCCATTTGGCCAGGCCAAAAACATAACGTAATGCCACTTATAAGGCATATGCACTCAGCTTTACGTGGGCGTGTATATGTACATATATTACAATATATATTAGTTAACGCTAGATGCATATCGCTTGACTGGAAGAGTTAACGGCTCGCCAGCAGTTGGCGTGCCCGGTCTGAGCCATATATTTGAACTTTGACATTATCCAAAATACGAGAACCAACTCGCCCCCCGCCCCCCCCCTCCCCCCTCGTAATCCCACGTCGTAACGCACGCGATGCGCAATGCCACGCACGTCTACTAAGAAAGAAAAACCCAATCTAGCTAATATAGAACAAGCCAAGCGGCACCGACTAGCAGTTACCCTGTAATCGCACAAATTCGAACTTCCTTCTGGCATGATGGCAAGGACAAGAACTTACGTACCTCGAATAGGCCTCCATATTATTCGCTGTCCGAAGTTATACAAAATAAAAACATACTCGGACTGTGCCACTTCCTTCTGCAGCAAAACGTTATGCCCCCTTTGTGGCCCAGTTAGCAACGGGTACAGGGTATTGAAAATAAAATACAATTCCATTTGCTTGGCTGCCAGCGGTCAGTCACATGAAAACGAAAGGTGCCCACACACTCCATCCCCCAACAGCCCCTAGGCTAGGGAGCAGAAGCAAATCTTTTTGTGCCGTCGTCGTGCGACTCCTTGGGCCAACCATTAGCCACGCCGTTTAATCAACTCAACTATGCAGAGGCCAAACGTTGACCCAGAAGCACTCCCACAACAACAACAACAAAATATGGAAAAGGCCAACTGGAGGCATTACGTATTTACGATTCGAGTGGCCTTTAATTGTGTTATACCAAAAATTCGGCTGATCCCCAAAATTGCAATTGATGACAATTTCTAAGAATTTTCAAATTTTCTTCTTTTCTTTTGAACCAAATGCATTTGAAATGAATGTTTATTTTGGGAATTGTCTAAATACAATTTTGTCTCAACAAAGCCTAACGAGCCTTTATACTAATTTATTTGTATTTCTTGTAATCCCAAAAGTAGGCTATGAAAACGTACATATAATGAATATGAGATTCAAGCTTTGTGTAGACTGAAAATAGCCTTTGTTGAGCTTTTCGCTTCAATTATTGAGCAGTTGTGGCCTTTCGAAATGTTACGGTTATGAACAGCGAGAAGAAAGGTAACGAGTAACGAGTATAACTACTCGTTGCTTACAGCGAAGCATGAGCAAAACTGTAAGCTGGTAGAGCTCTTGCCTAACTTTTTGCATAATCGTTATTAATTATTAATAAGCAACCTTTTGTCTCTCATATTGTTTCTGTAAGAAGCGGCGAGAGAAAAGTAACGAGTAACGAAGCTCACAAATCGTTAGGCATATCGAATATAGTTCGAAAGTGCAAAGTGAAACAGACTGTCGAAATCTTTGCCTTAATTATTAACTAACCATTTTGTTGCTAAAAGAAAGAGCGAGAGATATGTAACGAGTAACGAGTATAACTGCTCGCTATGCACAGCGAATGAAGTTCAAAAGTTCAATACGAAATAGAATCTGTCAAAATCTTTGCTTCAATAATTAGCGATAATTATTAATAAGCAACCTTTTGTCTCTCATATTGTTTCTGTAAGAAGCGACGAGAGAAAAGTAACGAGTAACGAAGCTCACAAATCGTTAGGCATATCGAATATAGTTCGAAAGTGCAAAGTGAAACAGACTGTCGAAATCTTTGCCTTAATTATTAACTAACCATTTTGTTGCTAAAAGAAAGAGCGAGAGATATGTAACGAGTAACGAGTATAACTGCTCGCTATGCACAGCGAATGAAGTTCAAAAGTTCAATACGAAATAGAATCTGTCAAAATCTTTGCTTCAATAATTAGCGATAATTATTAATAAGCAACCTTTTGTCTCTCATATTGTTTCTGTAAGAAGCGGCGAGAGAAAAGTAACGAGTAACGAAGCTCACAAATCGTTAGGCATATCGAATATAGTTCGAAAGTGCAAAGTGAAACAGACTGTCGAAATCTTTGCCTTAATTATTAACTAACCATTTTGTTGCTAAAAGAAAGAGCGAGAGATATGTAACGAGTAACGAGTATAACTGCTCGCTATGCACAGCGAATGAAGTTCAAAAGTTCAATACGAAATAGAATCTGTCAAAATCTTTGCTTCAATAATTAGCGATAATTATTAATAAGCAACCTTTTGTCTCTCATATTGTTTCTGTAAGAAGCGACGAGAGAAAAGTAACGAGTAACGAAGCTCACAAATCGTTAGGCATATCGAATATAGTTCGAAAGTGCTAAGTGAAACAGACTGTCGAAATCTTTGCCTTAATTATTAACTAACCATTTTGTTGCTAAAAGAAAGAGCGAGAGATATGTAACAAGTAACGAGTATAACTGCTCGCTATGCACAGCGAATGAAGTTCAAAAGTTCAATACGAAATAGAATCTGTCAAAATCTTTGCTTCAATAACTAGCGAGAGAAATGCAACGAGTAGCGACCGTAAACGACTCGTTATTCACAGCGTTTTAGGGGCGAAAGTGAAAACTGGAATAGCTTTAGTTCTTGAGACAAACTGCAAAATGGACGCTAATAAAAAAGCACACACCTTGAACGGGCCAAAAGGTGTGTCCAGCGTGTGTGCGTGCTCGGCTAGTTAAAGTTCAAGCGTTCAAGGTGAATGCAATTGATTTGACTGAAAAAGCAACGACTTGAATATGGCTGCCCCGTGACCTATTGCGAGTCAGTCCCGACCTTATCAACCTACCCAACCTGATCATTATATTCATTGCCTAGCCTAACATTGTCATGTATATATTTTCTACATTTTACAGGCGCTTGTGATCAATGTCTGTAGCATATTCTTTGATCTAGTCAGCACTATCGTTAATTTCGATTACATGAGTGAGTACACATTCCTAGCATGGCTTGGCTAGAGTTCATTTGACTACTGAACTGAACAGCTAGTTGATCAATGTATTTAATGTCATTCCCTCTTACAGACGGCTGGGCCATTGCGTTCTGTATCATCAACCTGGTGGTGCGTCCGGTGAGCGTTGCCCTGCTCTATCGAGAGTTCAATACGCGCGGCGGCAGTCTGCAGACTGGCTCCGTATTTCCAACAAATCAGCAGCGCAGCTATCAGGACATTGATCGTCCCACGCAGCCGACACCAACCAATTCGCAGCCGGGTCCCAATGTGGCCAGCATTTTCTAAGCGTCTGTGCGCGCAAATAATTAAACATTTAGCCTCACACCCTTCCCAGTACCTACAGATGTCCAACGGGAGACCATATAGAAACTGCTTAATAATTCCGCGTGTGGAATCCAAATTGAACGTCTTCAAGACTTGAGGAATCAACGACAAAGAAAAAAAGAAGAGGAACGCAAATTTTTTTTTTTTTTTTTTTTGTTATATTCTAGCGTTAAGATCAAAAGAAATGCTAAAAATTGTGTAGTCAATGAAGCTAGAAAACAGATTTTTTTTTATGTAGCCATTATTTCAGCTATAAACCATAAAGACAAATTGTAACCATTAACGATATATAAATATATCTCTCTATATATATATATATATATATATATATATATATTGATATGTATTTATAACAAGCGCGCAGCATTTGCTGCCTTATGCATAATATATAAGAATATAACGCCTACTACTACTATACTATGTAAACCTAACATCATGCAAACAAATACATATGCACACGCACGTAGATATATATACATATACATATTTATGTACATATATGTGTGTATTTAATAAACTGGGCGTTCGATATGTATTTGTCCATCTAGAACTGTTACTGTCTGTCATTTACGCTGCATTTGCGAACGCCTTCGTATAGCTAAGTGGTTCAATAAATAATTGAAGTAGCGCCCAACTTTTATGTACAAGCCCCAAACGTACAAAACTTAAACAACAACAACAACAAACGAAAAATATATAAGACACACTGAAAATAAGCTGTTAAACCGCCCCAAGCCGCTCTTAGAAACCCTCCTTGGCCGCACGGAACTTGTATTGATTGCTTCGCCCATCCAGGCAGGGCACCTGCACCAGGTTGAAGTATATGGAGCCCATCAGCTGGGAGGCCGACGTGTTGGTCATCTTCAGGCACGAGAACAGCATATCATCGCAAATGCAGTGCGATCTATAATTGGTTGAAAGCGTTTGCAAATTAGTCAGGCATCCCTTTTCTGGGCACACTCGTTAATTACTTACTTGGTGTATAGCGAGTCGTTCATTAGCTCGTATTTGTTTTGATAGGCACGTATCTTGATGGGGCACAGGTCGTGCTGGCGACAGCAGCGATCCATGGCCATTTCGCTGCCCAGATCGCTGTACGTTTCGGCAATATCTCCCGTGCCACACCATTTGGTGCCTGTGTCCAAAGAGAGCGAGAGATTTTAATTAGCGAGTGGGGCAGTTGGCGAGTTAACAAGCTATACGAAGGGTTAATAAGCCAGAGGGATATTGAAATTGCTATTGACAAGCTAACGAGTTGCCTTACTAACAAGTTTTAAAGCAACGAGTTGATAAACTAGCGAGTAGGCGAACTTACGAATGGACAAACTAGCGAGTCAGCCAATCATATAGTATATAGACTCACTAATGTGTGCAAAATGTTATAGAGACAGCAAGGTAAGGTGCTGCCTAAATAACGAGTGGCTTAGCCAGCGAGTTTAAGAATTTAGTGAATAAGCTGACGAGTTGCCGAAAAAGCAAGTTAATACAAACTAACAAGTTGCCAAACTAAGCCAAATTGCTAAACTAGCGAGAAGGCTAGCGAGTGGGCGAAAATGGATGAGAGAATGAGCGAGCCAACAAGCTGCCCAACTAACGAGTTGCTGGACTAGCGAGTCGTTAGACTGATGACCAGCGAGATAAGCTGGCGAGTTGCCAAAGTGTACGAACTATTATTGAAATATCAAGCCAAATAGTTGGCTAACTAGCGAGTTGATAAGCCCACGACTTTCTGAGCTAGCGAGACTCTAACCTGACGAGTTGAAAAGCTAACAAGTTGACCAAATAGTGAATTGCAGAGTTACCCGTTGATGAGTTGATAAACTGAATGGCTGAGCTAGCGAGCTGACAATTTAACGAGTAAATCAACTACTGAATTCTAACAAGTTGGAGAATGTTTAGCATGCTTTCTGCTAGAACATTGGTTTTCTGGCAGCAAGCTAGCACTCGTTAAAAAAAAGACAGGGTCATCTTGAAAATCTTACCTGGTATAATGCCGCTTAGCAGCGAGAAGGGACTGCGCGGAAAGATATTCGCTGCCAGCTTGAGCGAAACACCATCCTGATTAGCTGAGCCGCCCAAACTGTCGTTGCCCGCACCGCTGGCCTCAGACTCGCTTGTGCCGCTGCTGCGTTCCGAGCCCTCATTGCTGGACTTGTATCTGAGCTTGGACGCATAGCTGAGCTTATCGACGTGCTCGCATTGATCCATCAGTTTGAGCATTTCCTCGAATTTGATTTGCAGAGGTCGATTGTATTTGGCGAGGCCATTGAGCAGCATTTTGCCTTCCTTGTCGTTGCTGTAAATTGGCAGCGAGTAAGAATGTAATGAGTAACGAGTGTGCAGAGTAACAGGCTTAATAAATAACGAGTGTAAAGAGTCTAATGAGTAGCTAGTAACGAGTGTAATGAGTAACTAGTAAACAGTGTAGCGAGGAACCAGTGTATAAAATATTAAGTGTAGCACGTAACGAGTGCAATTAGTAACGAGTGTGAAGAGTAAAGAGATTAATGAGTAACGAGTCTAATGAACGAGTAATAGAACGAGTATAGAGATTTATGAGTAACGAGTGTAATGAGTGTAGCGAGTAAACAGATCAATGAGTAACGAGTGTAATGAGTGTAACGAATAAAGAGATTAATGAGTAGCGAGATTAATGAGTAGCGAGTGTAATGAGTGTAACGAGTAAAGAGTGTACTGATTATTGAGTAACGTGTATAGTGTGAAATGAGTAGCAAGTGTAGCGAGTAACGAGTGAATGAGTAACAAGGGTATCAAGTAACCAGTGTGCTGAATATCGAGTAACGAGTGTAAGGAGTTAAGATGAAAGTGTGTAATGATAACGAGTAACGAGCAACGAGAAACGAGTGTAGCTACTCGCCAGTGCGCTTTGATAATACTCACTAAATTTCAATCAGCTCACAGCCGAGCAGCAGCTTCTGTGGACCCAGCTCCGTGACGGCTATGGTCTGATCGTGATAGTATATCATTATCAGCGAATCGTTGCTAATGCGCTTGCCGCTGCGAGAGAGAGAGAGAGAGGTTAAGAGGGAGAGATGGGGAGCTGTTGAGTTAGATGCGTAATGCGTTTTATGTGCACGCATATATGGGCACATGGCCAGCCGAGAGGCATTACAATTATGGATGCGACGTGACGTCCATGGCAATGGCCAACGTGGCCGTCTCAGTCGCTAGCCGTGGCGCTGGTGAAACTGTCAATAGCTGGCCGGCCAATTGGCGAAACGCCGGCTGTTTACTAATATTAGGTCGATTGGCATGGACTCACCTGTACGTTTTCATTTGACGCAGGCTGCGCTGCTCGATGATCTGCTGGGTGAAGGACTGGAACGAGGGAAAGCCTTGCAGTCCGTGCGGCAGGCTGAACGACAACGTGGGCTTGGCCAGCGCCACCGAGGAGCTGAGATAGCCGAGCAGGGCGCAGAAGAGCAGCGAGGCGAACAGCTGGAGTCGCCACTTCAGCTCGAAGTTGTGTCGCATTTTGATTCAGTTATTTTCGAAATAGTTGCTTATATTGAAATTCAATTTGTCTGTAACTGTCTGGTGTCGGCTGATCAGCTATGCCAAGCGGCATTCCACGCAAAAGTCTTCCGGCTGTCTGCCAATCTAACTGCCAATACTCTAACTTTTGATACTCTATACTCTACTAACATTTCGTTAATATGCCATTGTTGTTCTTCCCAGTGCGCGGCGTCTATTGACTGGCAGCCGGCGGCAGGCGGCCGGCGGCCAAGTTCGCGGCCAGCATTTGGTAACATATATTTTATTTATTGCTGAGAACTTCCGGAGGCCCGGCCCAAGCAGCTGAACGCATTCACAGACCAATCGCAATGGGCCCAAAGTCTACTACGATTTCTGGGTACACATAGACACCCATCCCCACCCCCCACTCCCCCTCCCACCAACCCATCCTTAGCTCGGTTCACGTGCGCTAAAAAACGCGACGTGGCGTTGACTGAACTCTTTGTTTCCCCCCTGCAAGACCTCCCGTTTTTTGCCACATCAGCTAATTGTCCTGTCCATAGGCAATCAGTTGTCATTTCGATAGCGTGTTCTTGCATTTTTTTAGTCAACACACACACACACACACACACACACTAGGACACACGTACAAGCTATTTCGCAATACATTACGTATACGCAATGTGATTCAATATGCAACAAATTGTTCGAGCGAATTGCACACTTATCATAATCCCCAGGAACTAATTGTCGAGTTACATTCCATTTATACAATTATTCGATTTAATTCGTTAGAGATAATTGCAAATTATTTCCAGCTAAAAATCAAATTAAGACAGAGTAGAAGCTTACACAAGGGTGAAGAAGGTGAAGAACCTTACTCTGATATGGAATAAAAAGAAACAGAATTCCATTTATAAAGCTGTGTGTATGAATATAGAAAAATTTGAATGCTAATGAAGAGGATTCAAGGCATATGGCAGAAGGATTATAAAGCGGCACAGATCGGCTGTCCGAGGTGGAGCCCATCTTTCCCCTAGAAATCCAATGCGTTTTCTATATTCAATACCAAGAAAGAAAGTAATCCAACTCTTTCTTTTATAAGATAATTATAATAGCTGAGAAAAACTAAGCGTAAGTTTACTAAAACGTCAAGAGATTGAAGGATTCGATCCTATAATATGTTAGATTGAATAAGTTTGATACGGCGAGGTGAAGGCAGCTGGAGGCTATGTTCCCTTGGAAAAGCCAAGAGCTTGTTGACCAAGTTCTATTGGGGCTAAATAACTCTGGGCTTAAGTTACTTTGGGATCAAGTTAGCCCACTTCAATGTCAAAACTTCATGATATCTTGGCTAGACAAATTTGTACAAGGTTTCTACTAAGAGAGAAAAAGAGAAAAGAAAGAATTGAAGGATTGCAAACGCTTTGGAATAGTTAGTTCAGGGTTGAATAAGTTTGACACTGTGCCGAAAGCCAACGATTCATGATCTTAACTAGTTGACTTTATCAGTTATTTTCATTATTGTTCAGCAATTTAAAATTAAGTATGAGAGCAAAGGGATCCATCTTGCTCGATAGATCTCCAAGAAATTGAAGGAATACAAATACCTGACAAAGGCTCATGCTCGCACAAGAAACAGTATTCAACTAGTTAGTTAGTCGGTTATTTTAATAAGAAATAATTAAACACGTTGAAGGCTCGATTGTTTTCGATAGATCTGCGATTATTCGAGCAACCCTCGTAAGACACATCGAGAACAAATTATAAACAAAAGGCCATCTAGTTGAATTAACTATAATGAATATGCACTGACAATCTGTTCCACAACCTTGATCCAACAAATCGACGTTAAACAAGTAAGAGGTTCTAGTCGGGAGCCCCCGACTAGGGGATACCCTGAACCCTCCTCTTCCAACAGGCGATAGGCGATATAAAATGAAAGATACTTCATATATACATATATACTATTCTAGAAGCTACATGTCAAGTTTGGTGACTCTAGCTCATATTATTTGCCGAAATTGCTCAAAAAACAGGATTTCGATATCGATTTTTATCGATTACTTGGAAACGGGGCAAGTTATCGAATATCGGAAACACACTCGATCTGCGCGGGCACTAGGAGAACCTACAGCTAAAATTTCAAGTCTCTAGCTCTTATAGGTTCTGAGATCCTTGCGATCATACATACGGACGGACGGACGGACGGACAGACAGACGGACGGACGGACAGACGGACATGTCTAGATCGACTCGGCTGTTGATGCTGATCAAGAATATATATACTTTATGGGGTCGGAGATGCTTCCTTCTGCCTGTTACATAGATTTGCACAAATACATTATACCCTTTTTTTTGCCCATTTTCAATGGGTTCAGGGTATAAATAGCATCAAGTCCATATTAAAAACTGCAATGTTCCGTAACCGTGACTGGGCTCAAGCTCAATATAAAAGTGTATTCCACTTGGAAAGACAAATGAGAATCGAGCACAATAAATTTGAAATGAGAACATTTCAGCTTGACCTTGACTTCGTAGTCTGAACCGAATGACTGCATTTTTATAGCTTGATTTATGCTTTAATTATATTAAGAGCTATTAATGGTCTAGTTAAGATGGCGCGACTAGGAGTTGCCCTCTAGTCTTTGACCCTGACAATGGGCTATCCGGAAAGATCTACGCTTTATACATATAAACGATAAACTTTGGATAGTTGAAAAGGAAGACTGGGAACTGTACACGGTACATAATGTGCTCTGAATATTGGTTTTAGACGAAAATATTTGGATAATTAATTACTTTGTCTTGCTTGGAGTCTAATGCTTTAAACTGTTGAATGTGTTTTCGACACCCTTTGTAGAACAACCTAATGGGTGAGGTAAGGTGAGGGGATCAATATTTTCATTTGATTCACAATCTCCTCTTTACTTGAAGTCTCTCTCCTCTTTCCAATTATAATATTCCAAATAAATCGCTCAGTTCTTTAGTTATTTTCAAAAAATATTATATAGCTGTTTGAGGAACTATCGCTTAGGAGCTGATAAATGTTTTATTTCTCAAAAAAAAAAAAACTGCCATTCAAACTCGGCCCAAATTCGAGCAAAATCTTTGCTATATGCCTGTAAGGGTATTTAGTTGTCGGCATTCGGCAGATACAAGCCCTTGTTATACCCATCCGAACGCAAGGATCTCAGAACCTATAAGAGTTAGAGATTTGAAATTTTAGCTGTAGGTCCTCCTAGTGCTCGCGCAGATCGAGTGTGTTTCCGATATTCGATAACTTGCCCCGTTTCCAGGTAATCGATAAATAATTGATATCGAAATCCTGATTTTGATGCAATTTCGGCAAATAATATGAGCTAGAGTCACCAAACTTGACATGTAGCTCCTAGAATAGTATATATGTATATATGAAGTATCTTTCATTTTATATCGCCTATCGCCTGTTGGAAGAAGAGGGTTCAGGGTATCCCTTAGTCGGGAGCTCCCGACTAGAACCTCTTACTTTTTGTGTCTGCCTCAGTTATTCGCATGTGAAACACTTTTCGATTCCCGTTAATAATTTTTTTACACTTGGCAGCTGGTGCCGAGCTCAAGGAGGCGCAGACAGAGAAGGAGGAGGAGGTTGACGAAGAGGAGGAGTAGCCGAAGTAGCTGACCAAAAAAAAATGGAATTGTCCACACGCACGAAACATGCTAATCACAAAGTTTTTTATTTGTATATGTATATTTTTTTTTTGAGTGTTTGCCGTTGCGCCCGAAAATCAAACAAAAAAAAGAGAGAGAGAGAGACAATCTACGACACGCCGACTATTTAATGCCCTTCCAGAAATGTGGCTTAGAAGTGTTTTAGGGCAAGAGATTTATTTCCGATCGATTGTTTCGGATGCGTTTTGTCAGGTTAGTCGGAATGAGAGTGAAGCTCTTCAATATATCTGGGGAAATAAAAAAGTTGTCCGAATTTAAAGCTATATCATACAGAAATCTGATGTTAAAACTCGTAAATGACAAGTTAAGTCAAGACATCTGAAGAAACAAATAAGTTTTCCATAGAAAAACTGGACTTTTGACTAATTAGTCCAATGTTAGCTAGATGATACAGAAGTCCGATGTTGATTAGAACTGGCTGGCATGAGATAAGTTAAGATATCGAACTTGATTTTTCAACGATTATTCCTACAGGATGTATTAGTCCGATTCGGCTGATCTCAACATAAATACGAATCTATTAAAAGTCTTTAAGACTGAGTTCTGATTAGAAACGGACGGACAAAGCGATATTGGTTCGGCTTTTAATGCTGATCAAGCATATATATACATATATACATTCGATTTACGAGTTCTTTTCGTATGCGTTGCACAACTCATGAGAGGATTACAATGCCCTCTCCAAGAGTATCAAAAAGGTGATTATTATGCGAGCGAAGAAAAAAACTTTATATATATTTGTATGCATAAATGGCTGCCAAAGTGAAAGTGCTGCCCATTGTTGTGGTTGTTGTCGCTGTTGTTGACTTTTGGGTGATTTTTGCGCGATTTCAATTTAAACTGTGAACCAACATGCAACGGGACGGCGCTAAAATCCGGCGATGACAAATCTTCATCTGGCAGTTGGCAATGGAAACTTGTTTCACGCATCAGCCCCCCCCCTCCCCCCTCCCCTCTCTCCCACACACACACGCAGGCACGCACGCACGCAAATTGGTGCCACTTAAAGTGTTGGTCAAGCCCAGTTATCCAACACTTGACACCTAACACCTAAAACACTGGCTAATTGAATGAGTGGCAAAAGAAAATATGGTCAAAAGAGTTTTAAACGCAATGCGCAGGTCGAGGTTGAAGCTAAAAGGGCTTAGAAAAAACACTACACACCAATTTGAATTATTGAGAATCGAGGAGAGGGGCACTTGGCAGAAATTCATTTTATTCAAATTTGCAGCACAGCGACAAATAAGCTTCGCCTGCGTTTGCTATTAGAAAACAAACATGCATGCACACACACACACACACACGCCACACACACACACACACACACACACAGAAACAGATACACACACATATGTAATAGTTATGTGCGTTCATAGAAAATACCTGTAGTATTGTTATTAACTTTGTTTCAGCTCAAGCTTAATGTGAATTTTCCAC